CTCGGGCGAGCGCTCGGGGTACAACTGAACCGAAGAGAGAGCACAACCGAAACGCAGCAGGAGAGCAACATGAGAAACGAGAGACCGAATGATGAAACAGCGAAAGGGGAAGAGAACTGACTCCTGGTCGCGCCTGTGTTCGAACCACTTCGCATCGCCATGGATTCTGCTACGCTCTCCAGTGCTCGGGCAGAGCAATCTAGAAGATAGGCCGGGGCGGAAACCACGACGACTGTGCAGCTCGGTGAGGCAAGCGTCGGACAACGGGCCATACATGGTAAAACGTACAGCTGGGCAAATATTGCGATTACGACCTTGCTGTGGACATCGTGAAGCCTGAATCTGACTGCGGAGGCAATATTGCTACTAAATATGGCGGGCTCCGCCTCCCCAAAACATGCCGTCGATAAACTCTTTTGAGATGTCTGCCTCCGATACCGCTAATTTCCGCCACCAAAACTACCCTCGCCTTGCATCCGCGGGCCTTACAGCGGTATCCCTGAGTAGAGGGCAACCTCCGACGAAGCTGTTTCTAGTGCGTGCACCCCCCGAGCTCTCGAACTTTACATCCTAGGTTTTTTTTGTGTCATGCCTCCAACATAAAGCCTGGAAGTGGCCCTGGCAGATCGAAATCACGGCAAACGCTCGTCGTGATCTTTCACGAGTGGAGTCACGCGCGCTTCGCGCGCTGAGGTGTCTAGTAAAAGCCCGCCCTCGAAAACGACACGACACTGCATGTGTACGAGCAGACACACGGATTGCACATAGCCTGCGACGACAGGCGCCTGGGCAAAAAGCAGGTTGACCAACAGGGGGAGGGGATTTTGCAAAAGTGGGCCGCCCCCTGGGCCCCGGGACCGGGTCGCCGGGTATACCCATCGGTCGCAAGAAATAGGCAGGAACATGCAGTCAGGAAGGCGTAGGTAGGTCGCAAAAGGTGAGGCCACTCGATCCCTGTAACAGGAAGGCGCTGAGAGTAGATTGGACTCTGGAAATCCCAAAGCACCTACTCTCAACGACCGATGGGTCTGTGGACGACCAGGAACCTGGGTCCGCGGAGGGCGAGAGGTCGGCGGCCCACCGATTCCTCACAGAAGGGGCTTTCTCCGGAGCGCCGAACAGAGGCCGCTTCGTCCGGAGGAAGAGCTGGGAGTGGAAGGGCGGGGGAGGAAGGGGAAGACGCGCGCCGAACTAAACCGCACTAAACAAGTCTAAACGGCACTAGATAGGAGCTGGGTGTCGCCAGGGTGCTAAAAAAGGCTCCCACGATTTGCCACCTAAACGGAGCAAGATGACCTCGGACAGTGGCCGCTTCGTCCGCCAGGAGGGAAGGAAACGGTGACCACCTGTCCACCCATGGGGCTCCCGGAGAGCAAGCTTCCAAGTGGTTAATGTCGGGGGCGCGCAGACATGGATGAGCGATCCATGGATTTAACGCGCGGCCGCCAAATCCATGGATCGGGGGAGATACCCTCCCCCAAATGCGGCTGGTGCCGCCTCGCTCGGCGGCGAACATCTGTGAGTTCCCTTGGAAACGGCCCTCGCCGCTAATCCACGCCCCCTTGATCCATGTTCGCGATCGCCTGATGGATGCGGACGCAGATGTGGATCCGAGACCTGGAAGCACGCCGTCCCTCCCCCCTGGGGCATCCAATCTCTGTTTCTATTACGATCGCGCTCGGCACTGAGGCAGAAGACATCCGCTTCCAATAAACGTTGGCGGCGTGCACAAGGGGGTAGGAGGAGGGAGGAAGGCTCCTAAGAAGGAACTGCTTCTTACAAGACGTTGGCTCTACATCTACGAATGCCCGCGCCCTCCGAGACGCAGGGGTGCTTTGAAGAAGCCCTCCCCCTCCCCCTACCCCCGTCTACGCGTGGCTGGAAGTCCCAGAGACGGCTCCGAACATTTAGGTTTATGTAGTTAGCGGGACAGAACAGATTCTGGTTGTCAATGTCGCACAACAAGCTATCCAGATGTTCGAAATGAATTCGGCGAATGTGCACCAACTAGGGGACCTCTGGAAACTAGGAGGCAAGACGTAGAAGAGGAAGATGGGGAAGCGTGCGTCATACACTTAAAGTTTCGGAGCTCTTCGCGGATGTCTTGGATTGGCGCTGCACCCACCTGGCCGCGCCTCCAAGGCCGTCATTGGCGCGCTCTGCGCGCAAGGGAGGGGGGCCCGGCGCCGACCCAAGAAATCCGTAAGTGCATGTGTCTGCGGTTCTCCCCTGCTCGATGCGCAGTCAGCTGACGCCGCCGAGGGATCTCACTCATCGCGTGAGGCGGAGCCACCGAGGGCTCGATCGCAGAACTGCAGAGGTACGCCGCCGTGCCGGCGGCACGCCGGGGCGCGTCGAGAGCGCTTCCCCGTGGTCTGGTGGGGGAGCCGTGGGCGGCTGCGAGGAGGGACAATGACGACGACAACTCACAGACAGAGAGGCGGTGTGCAGACTCCCTCCCCTCTCCCTGCTTTTCCTGCTCGTCACAGACCCTCCCTCCTTCTCTTCCTCCCTTCTCCCATTTCCCTCCCCCTGCGCCTTCCTCCTTCCTCCTGCGTCCTCCATCCTCCTCCTCCTCCTCCTCCTCCTCCTCCTCCTCCTCCTCCTCATCCTCCTCCTCCTCCCTGGCGGCCGTCCTTCTCTATCCTCCTGCGTGATCGTCCTTTCTCCTCGTCGACCTCCCTATTCCTCCGTCCTCGCTCCTCCTTTATTGGCGGCCTATTCCTCTTCCTCCTCGTCGTGACCCGTCTTTTCTCTTGCTCCTTCCTCCCTCCTCCTTCCTCTTGCATCTTCCTCCAGCTTCCCTCCTCCTCCCTGACGGCCGTCCTTCTCCTCATATCAAGATGTTCACACGGCTCTGAATTCAGAAGAGCCCGAAGTGCAAAGCGAGCACCTAGACAGGAGTCGGGATCTGACTGGACAGGAGTCGGAATTCGATACGCACACTCCCACAATCTGGCCGCTCACAGGCGACTGCGGCCATCCCTGGCGGCTCCCCCTGGGGTGCCATGACCAGCGCCTCGGTCGAGACATCCTCATAATCTGCTCTGAAAGCCGAGGAGCCAACGCCACCAAACAGGCAAACCGCTCGAGACTTCCCCAAATTCTGGACGCGAACGAGGGAGCGAGATACCCCCTGGCGGCTTCCCCTGGGGTGCCATAGCCAGCGATGCGTTCGAGACGTCCTCACAATCTGCTCTGAACGCCGAAGACTCAACGCCACCAAACAGGCAAACCGCTCGAGACATCCCCACAGTCTGGGCGCCGCACAACCTGCTCTGAAATCAAGGGGGCCTCGGCCACCCAACAAGCACACGGCTCGAGACGTCCCCAATCTGGCCGCGAACGAGGGAGACGCCTGAGCCACCGGACAATCTGTTCGTCGGCGGCGAGGCAAGGGCAGTCCGCTCCAGCGTGTGGCTATTCGGGGCGACCGAAACGCGCACATGCTGGCGTGCAAGAGTGGGGAAGAACGACGAGAGCGGCCGCGCGGGGGGAGGGGGAGGGGAAAGCGCTAAGCCGAAGCCACCAAACAGGCAAGCCGCCTGAGACATCCCCACACTCTGTGCGAGAACGAGGGAGCGAGATACCCCCTGGCGGCTTCCCATGGGGTGCAATTACCAGCGCCTCTCTCGAGGCATTCTCACACTCTGCCCTGCAAGCACAAACATCCAAGCCACCAAACAGGCAAGCCGCGTGTGCCATCCCCACAATCGGGGACCAAACGAAGGAGTGAGGTACACCTTGGCGGCTCCCCGTGGGGTGCTATAACAAGCGCCTCGCTCGAGGCATCCTCACAACCTGCCCTGAAAGCACAGAAGCCCAAGCCACCAAGCAGGAAAACCGCGTGCGACATCTCCACAATCTGGACGCGGACGAGGGGGAGAGATACCCCCTGGCGGCCCTGGCGGCTCCCCTTTGGGTGCTGCAGCTAGCGCTTCGCTGCAAAAATCTTCACAATCTGCTTTGACAGCGAGGGGGCCTCGGCCACCCAACAAGCAAAAGGCGCGAGACGTCCCCAACTTGACCGCGAACAAGGGAGTGAGATACCCTCTGGCGGCTCCCACTTGAGCTGAAATTAGCGCCTCGCTCGAGACATCCTCACCACCTGCCCCGAAAACGGAGAAGTCTACGCCACCAAACAGGCAGACCGCGCGAGGTATCTCCGTAACCTGGCCGCGAGAGAGAGGGAGTGAGATACCCTCTGGCGGCTCCTCCTTGGGGTGCTGCAACCAGCGCCTGGGTCGAAACACTGCCATACTCTGGTATGAAAACAAGCGAGTCTGAGCACGCTGACAAGCAAACCGCCTGAGACATCCCCGTACACAATCTGGCTGCGAACGGGGGCGAGATCCCCCCGGCAGCTCCCCCTTCATAGCGCTGAAACCAGCGCCTTGCTCGAGACATCATCGGACTCTGCGAGTTTGAGCGTGAGTGAATCTCAGTTTGTGTGAGCATGAGGGTGAGTGAGTCTTGGTGTGCGTGTGAGTGAGTGTGAGTACGAGTGAGTTTGAACTTGAGTGAGCCTGAGTGTGGGCGAGCATCAGGGTGAGTCTGGGTGTGAATACGGTCGGACCTGGGACAGAAGCACATCCTTCCAGAACACGAGAGCCTCCGCCGGCCAACGCACCCCGAAGCATGAGATCCCTCGAGGGTACCCTCCCCTCCAGGATGCACCAGAACATTCGACAGGCACGAAGAACCTTCGAGTGCACTCCCCGCACCGAACTCGATCACCTCGGTCAGACCGTGAGTCAGAGCGTGCATGCGTGTGAATATGGATGAGCCTGAGCATGAGCAAGTCTCAGTGTGAGTGGGTCTGAGCGCGAGTCCGAATGCTGACGAGAATAGAGCCTGTGTGTAAGTGAGTTTGAGTGCGAGTGTCTGAATGCTGAGCATGAGTGACTCTGTGGATTAGTCTGAGTATGAGTGAGTCTGAGTATGAGTGAGTCTGAGTCTGAGTGTGGGTGAGTCTGAGTGTGAGTGAGTCTGACAGTGAG